CAGATTTCAACAAGGTACCACTTTGAGCACAGAAATACTGACATCATCAGACCGCTAGGGAGGTTAATATCCGCAGAATCCAGCCTTATTTTGCCTTCTCCATCAATGCCAAATCTCACAATTTTCAAAAACATTTCTCGGAAATAAAAACTCTCAGTTTTGCAGTACTAAATAGGAAGAAAAAAATGTAATTTGCAGATATAGCTGTCCATTAATAAAACCTACAAATGTATAGATGGTTCCTAGCAGGTGCTGTAAATCCTTGCTGGCTTTGTCCATACAGTATCTCCAAGGATCGGGTATACATGTAAAGATGAAAACAGAAATGGAGCTCATATAGGCAGGCTGAGATTTCAAGCTTTCCTGGAGTCAGATTTAAATACCGATCTGTCAAATGGTCAACAGCTCCATGATAGCTAACAGCTGATAATGGTGAGCAAACAAAGAGTGATGTGATGGAGCCAGATAACGTTTCTTCAGCTACCTAGAAGCTGGTGACACTTATAAGTGAAAGCTGAGTGCTGTGTAAGGACAACAAAGGGAAGCGAGGGGGGGGGGGGGGAAATCTTCACTCTCAATACCGGTTGCTATAAAACAACATTTCTTTGATAGCTGTTGACCATTTGACAGTTCAATGTTCACTTCCGGCTTGGTGACAAGCTTGACAGCTCAGAAAGCTGATTCAGTCCTTCTGCCTCATTCTGCGGACTCCCTCAGCCCAGTTCTTTGTTGCTGCCCAACACATTTGGGCGCCATTTTTCTATTCCACTTTAACTCAAATAAAAACTCACGGTACCACTCCTTTCCACCCTGATGAAGGGCCATAGACCCTGAAACATGTTAGTTTAGTGGAGGTACTACATCGCGCTACACACAGAGTCAATTCCCACTTCATGTTCCAGATTGGGACATTTCTGCAGTCTCTATCCTCATGGTCTCCCCAATGTCCACCATGGACTTTCAAATGCGATTGCTGTCTCTCCCACTGCCAGCTTCTTCATGAGAATACAACTGAATCTGTTGATGGAATATGGCATTCCTCCGGGTGAGCTGTTTTTTTTGGTGGTGCTCATTGATCACATCAATTTGAATTTATCCCTAATATAGTGATCTTTTTTGCACTACCCAATGTGCTCTGTATCTGCTTTCATCTATCTATATATGTACTCAGGGCTGCTGTTAGAAACCATGGGGCCCCTTACAGCCAACCAGGCAGGCCCCTCCCAAAACCACAGGGACCCATACAGGCAACCTAAACCCCCCCATCCCACAAAAAAAAAAACAGTTTACTATGCTTCAGTTATGAATGAACACAGTGAGTAATCTGTACTGATCATGCAATGTGTTCATTCAGGAAAGGAAGGGTCTGATAATGTATTGGAACTGATCCCCTGTATGTCTCATCTGCAGCTGAAAGCCAGCGGGGGGGGGGGGGGGGGGAGAAGTCAGCTGCTGCAGAGACAGCCATACAGGGGATTTTTTCCAGTAACTGCCCTGCTTACCCTTCCTGCTCACATCTAATTCACCCAGCTGCCTGGGGGCCCCCCTGCTGGCCTGGGCCCAGGAGGAGTTGTACAGGAGGAGTGGTGGTACCCCTTATCCATGGCCCTGTAGCATTACATAATATAGCCTTGAATCACACAGCTGTAGCACAAGGATAAGTAGCATTTAATATAGCCTTGAGCTGTAGCACAAGGATAAGTACTTTTTTATGTGACTGACAAATTTCAAAGCTCAATAGACTCTGAAATGAAAATAACAGACACTTTTTTGGAAAATAAGTATCCTTCCTTTTTTCCTGGTGAGTCAGTTTTGTGAACTGAGCCTCACACATAATGATACATTAGCTTACATTGGTATGATTATTCCCATTAATCTGATCATGTCCATGTAGCTTCAAAACAATGATAGATTATTTTGCTTTTCTATATATTTTAGTTGAGGTCTATTTAGATGCAATTTTGCATAAAAGGTTGAGGATAATCAACTTTAATGATTCTAACCTTGAAATCCAACTCCAAGCTTGCTGTCATGGTCAGGGGTCGGGTCAGAATTGGAGCAATAGCTATAGCAGTGGAGAGGCTCCCACCGACCAGCAGGATTGGTATACAAGCAGATCACCCTGGTGGTTGATGTGGGCTCACGTGCGGTGAGGGGTCTAAGCATTACCTGGTATTCACCAGAGCTCCTGATGGTGGAGATGGGTTTTGCTGCTTATTATTACTGGGTTGCAGTCCTCAGGATCCCCCACCAGGAGGTGAGCAAGTCAGGGTACAGTAGCAAACATAGCAGGTATGGATTAAACAGAAGTGTAGTCAGGAAACAAGGCAAAGGTTGGTAACAAGTGACTGTAGATTGGGATCAAGCAGAAGCATAGTCGAAGAACAAGCCAAAGGTTGGTAACAATTGGTTGCAGGTAGGATCAAGCAAAAGCGTAGTTATGAGGAACAAGCCAAAGGTCGGTAACAATTGGTTGCAGGTAGGGATCAAGCAGAAGCGTAGTCGAGGAACAAGCCAAAGGTCGGTAACAATTGGTTGCAGGTAGGGATCAAGCAAAAGCGTAGTTAGTTGAGGAACAAGCCAAAGGTCAGTAACAATTGGTTGCAGGTAGGATCAAGCAGAAGGTAGTCGAGGAACAAGCAAAGGTCGGTAACAATTGGTTGCAGGTAGGGATCAAGCAGAAGCGTAGTAGTTGAGGAACAAGCCAAAGGTCGGTAACAATTGGTTGCAGGTAGGGATCAAGCAGAAGCGTAGTCGAGGAACAAGCCAAAGGTCCAAAGGTCAGTAAGAAGTAGTGGAGACAAGGACAGCTGTTGGTACACAAAGCAGCAAGATATCAGCTGGAGAGGACACAATAATCTGGCAAACAGTAGGTGCAAAGATATAACTTAAAGCAGAGTTCCAACTGAAAAAAAAAAAGTCAGCAGCTAAAAAAACTGTAACTGCTGACTTTTAAAATACAGTCACTTACCTGTCCCTCGGTCCAGGGGTTCCTCACCATGGCTGGTTTCACTGGCCATCTTCTCTCCCTGGTGCCGGCATCTTCAGTGTGGGCACCTGGCTGTGACAGCTTGTGGCTTCACAGCCGGGTGCCCACTGCACATGCGTGAGAAGCCCCGCACTCTGCGAATGGCCCCGTGATCTTCTGGGTTATGTCACGTGTTCCACAAGACTACGGGGAGGGAGGGGGGAGGACAACTTCCGCTTTTGATCACCCAGGTGATCGCAGCGGAAGTGGGAGTGAATACCTGTCAAATTCGGGTACACACTCCCCCCCCGCTCCCCCCCGCTCCCCAAAGGTCCAATCCTCAATGTGGAGTGGGGGACAAAGCATTAAAGCAGAACTTCCCTTATGGGTGGAGCTCCTCTTTCAATCAGGAAGTTCATGGGAGATACAATACACTCTTTTTCCCCTCTGGAGGTGCCCTCCGCCAGTATTTTATATTTTCTTTATTAAACTCTTTTGGAGGGTCTTCAGGCTGACCACATGACATGCAGGGTCCTTTACCTCTTCAGATCTTTTCCCAGCAGTGGGTCGTTCTCCATTATGCAGAAAGTATGACATCACTGATTCATTGTTACATTGTGAATGAAGGGTGCTGTGGTCATGTACTTCATTCACGAGATTGTCGCAGTCTTCCAGATAGATGGTTGCTGGCAGTGATTTCAATCAGAAGACTGAGAACATCTTGTGTTACTGCAGGGGACAACACCAGAGAAGAGGTGTGTATTGCAGCCCTTTTTGTACATTTGAAATATTTCCAGGGGGGGCATTAGAAAAAGAAAAACACAAAATTGGTTGGGTTTGATGTTGAAAAATATGAATGTAATTTGTGTCACTGTGAAGGATTCTTCATAGTAAGAGCTGTGAGAATGTGGAATAGACTCCCTCCAGAGTTGGTTGTGGCCAGCTCAGTGGATCGCTGTAGGAAAGTCCTGGATTCTTTCTTGGATACACAGAATATAACTGGATATAACATTTATAGGGAAAGTTGATCCAGGGAATATCCGATTGCCTCTCGGGGGATCAGGAAGGAATTGTTTCCCGTGCTGGAGCAAATTGGATCGTGCTTTGCTGGGTTTGATTTGCCTTCCTCTGGATCAATGTGTGGGTGTAGGATTATAACTGGATGGACTTTTGTCTTTTTTTCAGCCAGACTAACTATGTAACTAGGTAACATGTCTTTGGTCAAAATTAATTCTTAAGATTTTTATCCCCTGAAAGGTAACTGTCACGGTCTGGGTCAGGTTCAGAGACCAGTTGCTACAGCAGTGTAAGGCTTACCTGAAACCAGCAGGATAGGTACACCAGTGGGTCACCCTGGGTAATAGCGCAGGCTCACCTGAGGTGCGGGGTCTAAGTATTAACCCGTTTTCACCAGAGCTCCTAGTAGTGGAGATGGATTTGGCTGCGTGTTAATACCAGGTCACAGATCTCAGGATCACCCCACCAGGGAATGAGCAAGCTGGAAACCAAAAGCGGATCAAACAGGTTAGGGATCAAACAGAAGCGGAGTCAGTCACAAGCCAAGGGTCGGTCACAAATGGTAGTAGATGAGGATGAGTGGTAGTCAGTGGCAAGCCAAAGGTCGGTAGCGAAGATGTAGATGGCGGCAGGACCAATATTTTATATTGGCTGGGAAGGCACAATAATCTGGCAAGGAGGAAGTGCATGGACATGGCTTTTATCAGGAAGTTCCTGGGAGGAGCAAGGAGTTCAAGGTTCAACAGAAAACAAGGCACAAGGCAGGACTGTCCAATAGACCAGGCAGAGTGTTGGCCAGCATCCCAGGTAGCTCAGTGAGAAGAACCATTTCCTCTCACCGCAGAAGGCCCAGGTTCGATCCCAGGCTCTGACAGTAACATACCCATAAATACAATATGGCTTTATTTTTGTGTGCATTATTTATGTATATATTTTATTACAGAAGCTAAGCCAATTAAATTTATTTTTTTTGCTTGTGTCAGCCGGCAACGTTCTCGGTGCTGCAGATTATTCAGTGTGCGGTTCCCCCTTGGTGTCCAGTCGGATAGTTGGTGGTACAGATTCATTGGACGGGCAGTGGCCCTGGCAGGTCGGTGTTGTAAGTGAAGAATTAGATAGAGAATATTTATGTGGAGGCTCCCTGATCACCCCAGAGTGGGTTCTGACCGCAGCGCATTGCATCCACAAGTGAGTATAACGTGTTACCTTTATAAGTCAATGCTACCTTCAGGCACCAATATTCTGCTTTGAAAAAAATGTTTCCACAAATCATCAGTCATGTACATACAGTATTTTTTGATACATTGTTCATCTTTTATAAAGTGTCCACTTTAAAACTGTTATGAGTGCATCATTGATCATCATTGGTTGGTGTCACCAAAGAGGTCCTGTATGAGTGCTAATTGTGTAGAAATTTTATATGCTATATTTTTTTTTTTCATTTGCTATTTTTTTCCCATGAAAGTGTAGTTACTAGAGATGAGCGAATCGAACCAGGCGAACCGGAATTCGAGTCGAATTTCAGGAAAATATTTGAATCCGAAATTTTGCCTACTTCGGGTGCGCGAATCGAATATTTCCCGATCAGCCGGCAAAAGTGTCCCTGCAGTGAGCTCCGCTATTTCTGACAGTTCTCTGACAGAAGGAACACATGTACAGTGGTTGAAACATTTTATCTATTAGTTTCCATTTAGGATACAGATGTTTCAACCGCTGTACATGTGAAGAAGCTGTCAGAGAACTGTCAGAAATAGAGGAACTCTGCACATACACTTTTTGCCGGCTTGGAATTCTTATTTTCATCCTACTTCTTCTTCTTCTTCTACTTCTTCATCTCATCCTCAGAAGAAGAAGAAGATGATGAGGATGAGGATGAAGAAGAAGAAGAAGAAGAAGTAGGATGAAAAATAAGAATAATTCCAAGCCGGCAAAAAGTGTATGTGCAGAGTTCCTCTATTCTGCAGATACACTTAGAGGAGCTCTGCAGATACACTTTTTGCCGGCTTGGAATTAATCTTATTTTCATCCTACTTCTTCTTCTTCTTCTTCATCCTCATCCTCAGAAGAAGAAGAAGAGGATGAGGATGAGGATGAAGAAGAAGTAGGATGAAAATAAGAATAATTCCAAGCCGGCAAAAAGTGTATCTGCAGAGCTCCTCTAAGTGTATCTGCAGAGTGTCATTTATGGAAACAAATAGATACAATGTTTGAACCGCTGTATGGAGGGAATGTCCCAGAACTGTCAGAAATAGTCTATTTCTGACAGTTCTGGGACATTCACTCCATACATGTCCCAGAACTGTCAGAAATAGACTATTTCTGACAGTTCTGGGACATTCCCTCCATACAGCGGTTGAAACCGCTGTATGGAGTGAATGTCACAGAACTGTCAGAAATAGACAGAAACTGTCACAGAACTGTCCTTCTTCTCATCCTTCTCCCATCCTTCTCATCCTTCTTCTCATCCTTCTTCTCATCCTTCTCCTTCTTCTCATCCTTCTCCTTCTCCTTCTTCTCATCCTTCTCCTTCTCCTCCTTCTCCTTCTTCTCATCCTTCTCCTTCTTCTCATCCTTCTCCTTCTCCTTCTTCTCATCCTTCTCCTTCTTCTCATCCTTCTCCTTCTCCTTCTTCTCATCCTTCTCCTTCTCCTTCTCCTTCTCCTTCCTCATCTCCAAGGGCATTTAAATTAAAGGTACAGTGTTCTGCACTAATTTAAAGGCTCTCTGAAGCCTAGAAACCCTTTTTATAAGTTAACTTCGTAGCGAATTAATTCGCATCGAATCGAATTTCATACTGGAATTCGCCGAATCAGCCGAATCGAATTTTTGAAAAATTCGCTCATCTCTAGTAGTTACCCTTGCAGAAGTTTTCCAGCCGATATTGCTTTTATGTGTTTGGACTGTGTAGCTGTAACCCGAGTACCAGTTACTGCACTCTGTCCATCTGCATTTGCTTGACTCTTTGTTTCATTGTGACCATGACCCTCACATGGTTCTACCTGTTGATCCTGTACTGCCACCTTCCTTAGTAACCCAGATGTAGATCAAGCCTCAATGTATTAATATCATCATCAAAACTTTCTTTTCTATTTGCTAACCTCGGCTCAATTTGGGTTTTATTTATTTATTTATTTATTTATTGCTATTGAATAAAAACCCACAAATCAACCAATTGCACACACAAAAACATGCAAACATACATAAAAGGACTAAAAAAGTTTTTTTTTTATTTTTTTTTATTCAGTTTTTTTTAAGACTTATTAAATACAAGATCTCAAATATCAATCAATTACACACAAAATGTGAAAATATAATAACAAAATTTACAAAAGATATTTAGATTTTACTTATCTATTTTAAAGTACCCTGTTGAATAAACGCTCTGAAATATCATCTATTTACACATACTGTACACAAAATATGCAATAAAAATAGGGAAAAAACAACTAAAAGAACTCCTTTTGGCTATTTAGAATTCATTTAATACCCTATTAAAAAAACACCTATCAACCAATTACGAACCATGCAAAGAAAATAAGAAAAGGGGGAAAAAACTTTTTTGGACTGTTTAGATTGTATTTATGTATGCATGTATTTATTTATGTAAATACATTTTAAATAAAAAAAACCCTCAACTATCAACTCATTATACATTTTTCACATCCAAGGCAATCAAAGAAAATTAGAAAAAGGGGAAAAAAAAACCTTTTTGGGGGGCTATTTAGATTGTATTTATTTATGTATGTCTTTATTTATTTATTTAAATACAAAACCCTCAACTAATTATACACATTCAAGGCAAGCAAAAAAAAAAAAACACTCTTTTTGGCTCTTTAGATTTTTTTTTGTTAATAATCACAGCATGTGTAACCATGTATTTTTTTTATTCAATTTTTAAGACCTATTGATTGCAAAAATCTCAAATATCAACTAATTACACACAAAATGTGGAAAGGACAAAAGAAAAAAAAACTTTTTGGCTATTTAGATTTTACCTATTTTAAAATACACTGTTGAATAAACACTCTCAAATATCAACCAATTACACATACTGTATGCAAAATAGGCAAAGAAAATAAGAAAAAAGGACAAAAAGCACTTATTTTGGCTACTTAGAATTTTTTTAATACCCTATTGAAAAAAAACCCTCAACTATCAACCAATTACATAAAAACAAACCATGCAATGAAAATAAGAAAAAGGGCCCAAAAAAATAATACTTTTTTGGCTAGTTAGATTGTATTTATTTATTTAGATCCCTTTAAAACAGAAACCCTCAACTAATTATACACACTCAAGGCACACAAAAAAGCACTTTTTTTTGGCTATTTAGATTTTTTTTTCTGGTAATCACATCATGTCTAACTATAATCAGGTATTCTGCAACTAAAAACAATTCTCAATAAATGAGTAAACAATTTACAACATTGTGAACTTTGTTTGTGAGAACACATTGGAGAAGGTTTATCAAATGCCTGGATAATATATGGATGGATGGTGGTGTGGCACCTCTTATTTTTTCTACAGTAAATATATATATACAGTATATATATATTACACATACTATATTGCCAAAAGTGTTGGGCCGTCTGCCTTTACACGCACATCAACTTTAATGGCATCCCAGTCTTAGTCCGTAGGGTTCAATATTGAGTTGGCCCCGCCCTTTGCTGCTATAACAGCTTCAACTCTTCTGGGAAGGCCGTTCACAAGGTTTAGGAGTGTATCTACTGGAATGTTGACCATTCTTCCAGAAGCACACTCTAGAGTCCAGTGGCGGTGTGCTTTACACCACAGCATCCCATGCTTTGCATTGCACTTGGTGATGTAAGGCTTGGATGCAGCTGCTCGGCCATGAAAAACTCATTCGGTGAAGCTCTCTATGCACTGTTGTTTTTCTAATCTGAAGGCCACACCAAGTTTGGAGGTCTTTAGCTATTGACTCTGCAGACAGTTGGCGACTTCTGTGCACTGACCACGTGCTGACCCTGTCATTTTATGTGGCCTACCGCTCAGTGACTGAGTTGCTGTTGTTCCCAGTTGTTCCCACTTTGTTATAATCCCACTAACAGTTGAGCGTGGAATATTTAGTAGCTAGGAAATGTCACGGATGGACTTATTGCCCAGGTGGCCACCTATCACGGGACCACGCTTGGAGTCGCTGAGCTCCTGAGGGCGACCCATTCTTTCACCAATGTTTGTAGAAGCAGTCTGCATGCCTAGGGGATGATTGTATACACCTGTGTCCATGGAGGGGATTGGAGCACCTGAATCACATGATATGGAGGGGATTGGAACACCTAAATCCTATGATTGGGAGGGCTGGACCAATACTGTATGAATATATATATATCGTATTGTTCTGTTTTTTGTTGATGTGAATAACAGTATATAGAAGATAGTATGGTAATATAACGGATTATGAATGTAAAGCATGAATTGTGTGTATCGGGGCCAATTGTTGATGCCTTTTAGAGTGCTACTAGACAAGCTATTGTCACCCAAATGGCAGATTACTGTGACCTAACAATAACCTTGCCTAATTTCAGAACATTGGGCTTGTGTACATACAGGCCATTCATGGAGAACAAATTACAGACAAGTTGTGTATCATTTATCAGATTCTGTATTTGTTGATGATGATGATATTGCAGTGTGTCTGCAGTAGATGGGTCCTTATTTATATATGTTCTGTACTGTTTCCTTTCTGCAGTCCTATCCAGCTATCAAATTACAAGTATATCTGGGCATGTACCAGCTGGGTGTGATCAGCTCCCAAACAGTCTATGTCAATGTAAGCTCTATCATCGTCAACAGTAATTATACAGACACTGCGAGCCCTGGGGACATCGCCCTGCTGAAGCTGGACACCCCTGTCAACTATACTGAGTACATCATGCCGATCTGTCTGCCATCTTCCACCACCACCTTCCCCTGTGGTATGGAGTGCTGGGTGACCGGCTGGGGTACAAGATCTTCTGGAGGTGAGCCCATGAGCAAAAGTGATTTCACTAGAGATGGGCGACTCTGCCTGGGTTAGGGGAATTGTTGAATCCTGTTGGAAATCCATGATGACACCTAAACTTAGCAGTAAATCCTATTGAGGTCTATGGATGAGGAGGGGGTACAAATCTTGATGCTACGTTCTGGCCATTGTCAAGCCTAATAGGGACCTGTTAGTCTTGCATTGTTAACCCCTTCATGCCGGCGCCTCCCGGACCTTTAACCACTTGCCTACCGGGCACTTTTACCCCCTTCCTGCCCAGGCCACTTTTCAGCTTTCACCGCTGTCTCACTTTGAATGACAATTGCGTGGTCATGCAACACTGTACCCAAATTAGATTTTTATCTTTTTTTTTAGACTGATAGAGCTTTCTTTTGGTGGTATTTAATCATCACTGTGATTTTTTTGCTAAACAAACTAAAAAAGACTGAACATTTTTAAATAAAAAAAGGGTTTTTTTTTTTTTAGTTTCTGTTATAAAATTTTGTAAATAAGTAATTTTTCTCCTTCACTGATGTGCACTAATGAGGCTGCACTGATGGGCATTGACAGGCATCACTGATGGGCACTGAAGGCAGCATCATATATGGCATTGATAGGTGGCACTGATGGGAACTGATAGTTGCACTGATGGGCACTGATAGGCGGCACTGACTGGCACTGATAGGCAGCACTGATTGGAACTGTTAGGCGGCACTGACTGCACTGAACTGTTAGGCGGCACTGACTGAAACTGTTAGGCAGCACTGACAGACACTGCTAGGCGGCATTGATGGGCACTACTAGGCAGCACTGATGGGCACTGAAAGGAGGCACTGACGGGCACTGATAGGCGGAACTGACTGGCACTGATAGGTGGCACTGATTGGCAGCACTGGTAGGTGACACTGTCTAATATATTTGACTCTTGTCTCTAAAAAAAAAAACACTCACATTTTTATTTCACAATAAAACCTGCTTTGTTTCTCCCTCTCAAATTGAGGACTAATAAATCTGGATGCATATTGTGCATTGATTGTAAAGTTTTTCTGGCTATTGTTTTTTTTTTACACGTTACTGTTTGTTGCTGTGGGCTGCTTACTGCACCTAAATGGCAACAAAGAAGTTCACGACGCATTTTTTTTAATCAGTTCATATCAAATGCATGGTACTTTGTTACCGTGTGCTTTGTTGCACGATTTATCACACACTTTAGAAAGCTGCATTGGGCTGCCCTTAATAATTAAGGGGACCACAGAGAATCTGCACATTTTGTAGTACATTCCTGCAATGCATAAGTGTGAAAGGAGCATGAAGGTGGTCAGTCTAAGTACAGCCTTCCTAAGACTGACCTTGTAATCATCTTCTTGTCTGTTTCATCAACAGGGAGTATAGTTTCATATGGGACCCTCCAGGAGGTCATGGTTCCCCTAATAGACCGTAATACATGTCAAGTAATGCAACAGAGTGCAGGAAGTACAGAGAACATCCAGTATGATCATTTGTGCCGGCTACAAGGATGGGTATAAGGACTCCTGCCAGGTGGGTGACACCAAAAGTATTCCAGCATGGTTCACCTAGAGTTGGATCTCTTCACAGGCAGCAGAAGAAATGCATGACATCAGTTATTGCCTACATCTGAGCAAAATGTTATTTTTTACTTGGAATAAATTGGAACATGTTTCAGGTTTTTAACTGATATATTTTTCATCACTGGGGACATTTCCCCTCATTTCCTGTATTAACAGGCTATCACAGATAAAGTGATTGGAAATAACTACAATAATTTATTAATGAAAGGTGTGGTGAAAGCTAACAAGTCTCTTGCGGTGTCATCATTGTTGTCAGTTACCTTACCCTTTGTATTTATTTCTAGTCCTGGTGTCACTTGAGCAGGAAGTGAGGGGCATTCAGTCTTATGGGGTATAGCAAGGGCTTCCACTAGGCAGCTGCCTAGGGCTCACTGCCACCTAGGAGCACCTGGGCGCAGCGCAGGCTGGCACTCTCACTGTATGGGATGCTGCCTTGTCATGAATGATCCTTCAGCTGAGAGGAGGGGCATTTTTGAGGAGGAATAAAGGAAGATGCCAGGTGCCTGAGGCCAGAGTAGCAGCTGAACTGCAGCTCCTTCCAGTGTTCCTCTCAGACTCAGTCCTTTACTGGAAGGTGGCTGGCGGCTCCTTATCACTGTGGAGTTCCAGCCCTTCTCTTCCCATTCATCAGCAGAGGCAGAGCTGCATCTGGGGAGGAAGGTAATGTCTGACTCTGATGTATCGTGTCTGTGTGATTGTGACCCAGCCCGCCATCCATCACATGTGCAATGTGTCAGTGAGTGATGACATCATCACCATCCCACAACCTGCTCTTCTAGTGCCTGCTGGACCTGCTGATCTGTGTCAGTGTTGGTGGTGGTGTGTTGTGTCGGATCTGTCACTGTGTGGGATTGCTCAGTTCAGCTGCCTGTTGTCACAAGCGTTTTACCTCCCCCCATTGCCTGGGGAATTCCAGCCTGGGATCTGTCAGAGTGTGGATCCATCATCCTCCACTCACTGCCACTGTCACCCTGCCACTGCCAGCCACAGATACAGTCCATCTGAGATGCTGATTTTGTCTTTAATATTGGTGCTGGTGGCATCTCATGGCACTTATTTGTGCAAATTAAACGAAATTTAACAATTTCATGTTTTGTTGATTTAATACTTTCCACTGTTTTTAAAAATCATTTATTTTTTTTTTTTTTTTGGGGGGGGGGGGGGGGTGTGCTGACGTAATGAAGTGAAGTAGAAATGGCTATCACATGACTGATGGCCTTGTCCTAGGGGAGAAAACAATGATGACTAGTCAGTCCAGAGCAAGCTTTCCTGGAAAGTGAAAATCTGGATTTACATACGCTGAAACATGGAAAAGGTCCAAATGCAGAGAAAATAAAGTATTAATAAATAATGAAAAAAAAAAAAATAATGATACAAAAATAGAACAAATAGAAAAATAGGAAAAAATTCCCAAATGAACCGAAAAAGCACCGCCCCAATCCAATTAAAACATTAATTAACAGCAATAATAAAAACAAAAACTGCCAACCTCCGCTAAAAAAAAAAACCTATCACCTCGAAAACACAACTAAAGCATATATGTGCTGATGGGTAGAGCAGAGAGGCAGAAATAGTTAAATGGTAAATGCAAGCACCAAAGTGTTGAAAATAGGGGGGGGGGGAGGAAACAAAAAAGAAGAAGGAATGGATGAGGGGACAAAAATACAGTTTTGCCTGGAGTTTAGCTTAATTATAGACAGTATGATGCACCCTGTATATTCAATTCTCCATTTGCATGCCACTCCCAATTTCTCCCCTCTCCACCCCATTCCTTTGGTATTATCACTAAGTACAAAAGTGTCTTCACCATCCAATTCTCTGATCTTTGCTCTACTCAGGTGCATCAGCTGTCTGTAGAATCTTCATAGTCATCACCTGTTTTCCCAACCATGCACTGTGGTTCCATCTGCTGACCCACCACTTATGTAGGGATTTAGCTATAGGAACCACAGAACATGGCATGGGGCCAGTCATGCAACACCCCTGTAATATGAAAGATGTGAAAAGTCCATTGCTTTGCAATCAGAACCCTGTGTTGGCTCTTGGGCTCTTGGCTGTGATTGGACAGGTCCTGACTATGAATCCTTAGCTAGGACCTTCTGAGTCTAATCACAGCAGGAGTCAGCTGGCGGGGTGCATGCCATGTACCCGGAAGAGGCCAGCAACATACAGGGACATCTCTGTGCCTGTAGGAGCCGCCCATCTGCAGTACAATGCGGGTGCACAATTCAGAAGTGGTTAATAAGTAACAATCTACAAGATAGTTTGAAAATATTTAATAACCAGTTATGTTCTAGGCTGTAGAGGGTCAGCTGCAGGGCAGGTGAGCGCATTCCCATTATAATTTTAAGGTCCTGGTTTGTGACATTTTTTTTACTTGATAACAGAATTGCTTTAAGCAAATTTACTAAATAAAAATTGACTTGGTTGCTACATTTTAAAGTTCTTGTACAGTACCAATTCCATACACATTTACTGAGATCTCAACTAGTTTGTGTAATTACACATTCATGGAAAAGGTACATGCTAAGTTTAAAACATTTTGTTAAATTATCCTGAACAGTTAGACGTTGGTGCAGCTAATGATTATCAATGTCTTCCAGGGTGACTCAGGAGGACCTCTGGTGTGTAAGGTCCAAGGCGTTTGGTACCAGGTTGGAATTGTGAGTTCGGGAATAGGATGTGCGTACGCCAACTTCCCCGGAGCGTACACACTGGTGACGGCCTACCAAACCTGGATCAGCACCTACCTGAACGCTACATTCTATGATGTGGCAAATATCACTACACCAATGAGGACATGTGGAGGACGCCTCTTCAATGATGTTCCTGTAACAACAAGGAAATCTGAAGGAAACTCCATCACATCCAGTCTTTCACACCATCGCTGGATGATCCTGGTCCCAACTACTCTTCTTCTCTCATTTATATAACCAAAAACCTAGACAATGGGTTAAGTTTACTAAAGGAACAGAGAATGTTTACTCTGCAAAGAATACCCAATCATATGGAATTAGCGATAAATAAGTAGCTGAAGACAGCACAGTCAGCACAGCTTCACATCATTCACTGGTCTAAATGAAAAATTCACTTTACAAAGTGAGCATGCTCTACTCCTTTAGTTAATCAACCATAGTGCTTTCAATAAAAGGTACAGTTGTATTATTATTATTATTATTAATAATAATCAGTGGTTCTTAACCTTTTTGGAGGTACTGAACCCCACCAGTTTCATATGCGCATTCACCGAACCCTTCTTAATTGGAAAAATAAAATATGATTTTTAAAATTCAAAACATAGGTATATATTTATACATAGGTGCACAAAATGAACAAAACCATTAAGAACAAAGAACAAAACCATTAAAACATGATTTTCACACAAAAACAAAATAATGAATATTTACCGCAAATCAGTGTGACTTCTGCTGTTGTCTTTCAGAGGCCAGTTCAGAAATGGGCGGC